AGACAACTCTACACATGGACATCACCAGACAGTCAACACAGAAATCAGACTGACTATGTGCTCTGCAGCCAAAGATGGAGAAGTTCTATGCAATCTGTAAAAACAAGACCAGGAGCTGACTGTGGCTCAGATCATGAGCTTCTCGTTGCAAAATTTAGACTTAAATTGACAAAAGTAGAGAAAAGCACTAGGCCACTCAGGTATGAATTAAATCATATCCCTGATGAATATACAGTAGAGGTGACAAATAAATTTAAGGAATTAGATCTGATAGACAGAGTGCCTGAAGAACTATGGACGAAGGTTCGCAACATTGTACAAGAGGTAGCAACTAAAACCATCCCAAAGAAAAAGAAAGGCAAGAAAGCAAAATGGTTGTCTGAGGAAGCTTTGCAAATAGCTGAGAAAAGAAGGGAAGCAAAAGGCAAGGGAGAAAGAGAAAGATACACCCAGTTGAATGCAGAATTCCAGAGAATAGCTAGAAGAGATAAGAATGCCTTCTTAAATGAACAGTGCAAAGAAATAGAAGAAAACAACAGAATAGGGAGGACCAGAGATCTCTTCAAGAAAATTGGAGATATGAAGGGAATGTTTCATGCAAAGATGGGCATGATAAAGGACCAAAATGGCAGGGACCTAACAGAGGCAGAAGAGATTAAGAAGAGGTGGCAAAATTACACAGAAGAACTATACAAGAATGAGCTTAACATCCCTAGTAAACACAATAGGGAGGTCACTGACCTCGATCCAGACATCCTAGAATGTGAAGTCAGATGAGTCTTAGGAAATCTGAGCAACGACAAAGCTAGTGGAGGAGACAGTATTCCAGCTGAGCTATTCAAAATCTTAAAAGACGATGCAGTAAAAGTGCTATACTCAATTTGCCAGCAAATTAGGAAAACTCAACAGTGGCCACAGGATTGGAAAAGGTCAGTTTACATTCCAATTCCAAAGAAAGGCAATGCCAAAGAATGTTCAAACTATTGCACCATTGCACTCATTTCACATGCTAATAAGATAATGCTTAAAATCCTACAAGCTAGGCTCCAACAGCATGTCGATCGAGAACTAACAGAAGCACAGGTAGGAATTTGAAGAGGCAGAGAAACTAGAAATCAAATTGCCAACGTCCGCTGGATCATGGAGAAAACTAGGGAATTCCAGAAAAAACATCTACTTCTGCTTCATTGACTATGCTAAAGCCTTTGATTGTGTGGATCACAACAAATTGTGGCAAGTTTTTAAAGAGATGGGAGTATCAGACCATCTTATTTGTCTCTTGAGAAACCTATATGCGGGTCAAGAAGCAACTACTGATTGGTTCAAAATTGGGAAAGGAGTTCGGCAAGGCTGTATACTGTCGCCCTGCCTATTTAACTTATATGAAGAGCACATCATGAGAAAGGTGGGGCTAGATGAATCAAAAGTTGGAATTAAGATTGCTGGGACAAATATCAACAACCTCAGATATGCAGATGATACCACTCTAATGGCAGAAAGTGAAGAGGAACTAAAGAGCCTCTTGATGCAGGTGAAGGAGAGTGCAAAAGTTGGCTTGAAACTCAACATTAAGAAAACTAAGATCATGGCATCTGACCCTCTCAATTCCTGGCAAATAGATGGGGAAGAAATGGAGGTAGTGACAGATTTTATTTTCCTGGGCTCCAAGAGCCCCGCAGATGGGGACTGAAGCCAAGAAATTAAAAGATGCTTGCTCCTGGGGAGGAAAGCTATGGCAAATCTAGACAGCATACTAAAAAGCAGAGACATCACCCTGCCAACAAAAGTGCGCATAGTCAAGGCTATGGTTTTCCCAGTTACAAGGTATGGCTGTGAAAGTTGGACCATAAGAAAGGCTGAGCGCCAAAGAATTGAGGCCTTTGAACTTTGGTGCTGGAGAAGACTCCTGTGAGTCCCTTGGACTGCAAGGCGATCAAACTGGTCAGTCCTAGAGGAGATCAACCCTGACTGCTCTTTAGAAGGCCAGATCCTGAAGATGAAACTCAAATATTTTGGCCACCTAATGAGAAGGAAAGACTCACTGGAGAAGAACCTAATGCTGGGAAAGATTGAGGGCAAAAGAAGAAGGGGACGGCAGAGAATGAGGTGGCTGGATGGAGTCACTGAAGCAGTAGGTGTGAGCTTAAATGGACTCCAGAGGATGGTAGAGGACAGGAAAGCCTGGAGGAATGTTGTCCATGGGGTCGCGATGGGTTGGATATGACTTCGCAGCTAACAACTACAACAACAACAAGCAGGTCCTTCTCAATTATTTCAGTGACCTGACTATATTTGACAGGTGTCATGGTACCAAATTGTTAGGGACTTCTAAGCCACAGCTAGAACTACTAATTGACACCAGGATTGCTTCTTCAACGAAACTGTAACACGTACATGGCCAGGTGCCTCACTCAGCAACCTGGCTATACCTGCCCCTTCAGCTGCAGCTTCCAAACCAACCGCAGTAGTAGCTCCCATTACAGGACTTTACAGTAATTTAAATGAGGTTACCTGTGAATAGATAATTGCAGCTAGACTCTGTCCAGGAAAGGCCATACAGTAAGTACCGTATTTTTCGGATTATAAAACACACCGGAGTATAAAACGCATCTTAGTTTTTGGGGAGGAAAATAAGAAAAAAGCTGATTGGGGGTGGATCGGCCTCCCAGAATACCCCCAATCAGCTGTTCCCAGAGATGAACTTTAGCAACAGGTTCCTTGGTTGTGAGCTCTGCACCTTGCTTTTTTTTCAGCCTCTGAAACCTCCCTTTCAGAGGCTTTTTTCAGCCTCTCAAACAGAGGTTACAGAGGCTGGGCGGGGCTACATTTGGACTATAAGACGCACCCAGATTTTCACCCTCTTTTGGGGGGTAAAAAGGTGTGTCTTATACTCCAAAAAATACGGTAATTGCTATACAACTCGCTCTGGCAATAGACAAGATCAAGCAGGATGAACAGGTGCTGCACTCATTTCCCACCCCCACCCCTCACTCTCTTCAGCAACAGGGGTCATCTATAAGGACAACCATGGCTGGTTTTACCCCAAGACAGACTTGAACATAAAAGACTAATTAAATTATACATTAAACTGTAGGAGTCGGCAGCCTCCCAAACTCATGTTTGTGGTTCTGGAAGCCCTGTGAATATTCTACCACATTTCATCGGGTAGCCAGAGAGTTGGCAGGGTGGATTCCTGCCAAATTGAGGCAGGAAATGTAAGACCTAAGATTACACTTTTGGGAAAAGAAAAATCCCATGCTGAATTGCACCCTGAAAACCTTAGCCTGGACAATGGGTATGAATCGGCCTCATCTCCTTCGCATAATTGTCTCATCTCCTGTCAAGGCTGTCCCTTCCTCTGAAGAACCCAAATGCTTTCTGTAGTCACCCAAAGATTATTCACCACTGCTATGGGTGGAGCCCTGGTTTAGATGTCTTTTGAAGAGGATTAAGGCAGTCTCAGGGATAAGGCATTCAAGGGCTATTCATCAAATTACCTTCAGTGATGTTATATTTTCAATATTGTTTTGCTTATGAAGTATTGTTGATGGATGCATCTTTGATATTACTGGTTTGTACGGCATCCAGAATCTTTAGACCAGGCAGTATAAGCATTACTGGGATAAATAAATAATAAGAAAACAGCAGGCTTCTCATAACAGGATGGAAGGGAGGTCCTATGAAGTCCTCCCTTTCTGGAAGGCAGGCCTTGCTCCGATCCAGCCCTGCTTTTCCTCTGTCCTCATGATTGACGTTTCACTCCTTGGTTCATCTTTCAAAAGGTTCTGCTTCTTAGAGAAGCCCTTTGGTTTGGACTCCGCTCCTCCTTGTGCGAGGGATGCTAACACATCTCCTGTATCCAGCTTTTCAAACTCCTCAGTTCGTTTTTGAGATGAGGAGTAGATGCTCTGAAACCACTTGCAGACCACAGGGTAGTCACCTTCTCCTACCGCCTCCCGCCCAAACATGCTGTGATCCAGGAAGCCCTGCTTTGCTGTCTCTGGGGCTCCTCTATCTCTTCCCCTGGGGAATCCCTGGCTTGCCCATCAGAAACCTCAAATCCCCAAGTGCATCTTCACTGACCAGAACAGAGCACTGCCCTGCTCTGTGAAATATAGCAATATGGCCGGCACCCGTATCTTTAGCATCTGTTTAGCATCTTTCCACAGTAAAAGACATTGGTCCTCTAACATCTGCCGTTACAGATGTAACCCTTCTCTGGGTTTCTTTTTTCCCCCGGAGAAATGCCAGCGGTCCTTTGGCCAAGGCACTAGGGCTGTCCTTCAGATCTGTAGAGTTACAACGCCCATCATCATCCCTAGCTGGCCAGCAGAGCCGCTAGCGGAGAAAGGCTGTTGATCATCCTTGCGATTTGGCTGGGAGGTTCCAGCTGCTTCTGAGCCGGGCTCCGCTGCCGCCCATGCGCGCCAGAAACCTAGTTGGCTGGTTCCGAAGGATTTCGGTTTTAGAAGCCCTGCGGGGAATTGGGTGATCTGGGCGTGACCTTCAAGCAGACTCGCCACATCCAGGAAACAGGGCTTCAGCAGCAGCTTAATTGATTTCTTTCCTTCTGCATTTTTTGCTCGGGCTCCCATCTCCTGTACTCCGCTCCATATGCCCCCCCCCCGCCAAGGCATCCTCTACCTCACCCGTTTATTTCTAAAGCACCGGGGAGAACCCTCCCCTCCCCATCCCAAAATGAGGGACCCGGGCGTCCCCCTCCCTAATCTCCAGGATGCTGAGACTAGACCAATAGGTTAACCCCACCCCAACCCCAACCCCACCCAAGTTTCCCAAATTCTTCTTAGAATACGGCAGGGCGTGTGTGTGTGAGCGTGCGTGTGTGCGCGTGTGTGTGTGCCAATAAGCCAATTTCCACCTTACCCCTCCTCACCAGCTCTGGGACCGAACCGGAGCTGGGAAGGAAAGGCGGGGAGGAGGGATGGGGGGTAGGGCGGGGCACGGAGGGAGGGGACTCTCCGCCGCCGCTGCTGCCGCCGCCGCCGCTGCCGCTGCCGATTATGTCACATCGATCAGACGCTGCAGCCGAAGCAGTAGGAGCCAGAGAGGCGACCGCAGCGGCCGCGGAGTGAGCGGAAGGACGGGCGCGGCTCAGGTAGGGGGCTAAGAGGACCGAAGTGGGGAGCCGAACCGCTGCCCTCTTTATCAACTTCGGGGCTCTTCGATGGACGGTCGGATGGGGGAAGAAGGAAAACCGGAGGTCCCCGTCCCCCGTCTTTGTCAGGACCCGAAAAAAAAACTGGGGTGCTTTCCCTAAATCTGGAGGAGAAGAGAGAATTATGAGGTTCCCAAATGGGCGCGAATTCCCCTCACGATTCCCTGGAGTGCCGCCGCCTCCTCCCCGTTAGAAGGTTTTTCGGTGCCCCCCCCCGTCTCCGCTGCTGAGAAAAGTTGCGCGGCTGGGGGTGTGGGGGGCGTGTTGATGAGGATCCCCCTGAATCCGGTGCAACTTAAGGCTCCGGTATGGCGGGTTGGTTGTCTGGTTTTATTACAGAAGGAACTGAGGAGGCGGGTGGGAGGGAGATGGCCCCCGACCCTTAGGCGGAGTAGGGGGGTCCCATCTGCAGAGACCTGTATGGGAATGCGGGGTTCCCGGGTCGAAGACCGGGAGATTAGAGGAGAGATCGGGATCAAAATCTGACAAGTTTTTCAAATCAACGTTTAGATGGATAATGCAACGGGGGGGGGGATTGTAGCAGCGCTGGGGGTGAACCAAAGCTATGGCCATGAAAGAAATGACAGGGAGAAAATGCAGATATACGTTCACTTATATGTTCACACTATGTGCCGATCCATCAGGGTTAAAGATTGAGTGTGTGTGTGTATGTGTGTTTCTGTGAAGGGTTTAGGCTTACACTAGGAGTAGAAAAGGAGTAAGGCTATCTGCAGGATGGGGCATTTGTGTGTCTTGGTCAGGGAATGGTCTCTGGGTGCCATTAGAAAAGGAGGGGAGAAGTGGAGGAGATCAATCTGTGTATGAATGCACCAATGCAGAAGGGGTGCATGGTGGGCGAGGGGTGTGTGTGTGTGTGTGTGAAGAGCACAGAGTGGGGAGCTTGGGGTGTGAGAAGCGGAAGCATTGTGTGCTGGGAAGGATACTGTGGGAATTGTGGCCAGCGTATGGGGCTGAGTTATGGCTGTGGAGTGAGCAGCAGAAGGGTGTGGCAGCTGGAACCGGGCCTAAAGCAGAAGGCTCTTCCCTCCAGGAGCCCTGGGATGAGATCACCTTTCTTAAGCAGCTGATATGGAGGGAGGGGGGCAAGTTGCTCCTGATTTATGTATTAAAATTACAGCGGGGGTGGGGGGGTATTGAATCTTGGGTCGTTCTTTGCCCTTGGCAGCACAACATTGTGGGGCTGTTTGCTGGGATCCATCTGTGCTCAGAAGATGCTTCAGGTTGTTGTTTCTTTCCTGAACAGTCTATGTGTGTTTGTGTGCATCCAAGGACAGGTGGGACATGCCCTGCTGTTCATTTGTATGAAGAGTCGTAGCAATTTTGATGAAGCATTGCTCTCTTGGAGTTGGGGGGGGGTATAACGTGAAGCTGCACTGCTTGGGGACAATGGCAAATGATTTGGGACAGAAGGATAAAATTCAGGGGGAGATCTCTAAGATGGGGATGGATGTGTACAAGAGTACAGGTTGTAGGTGGTGCTGTGCATGTTTGTTGTTGATGCAAGCAACAGCCTTTTGGGGTGTAAATAAATGGGGCTTGTGAGTGTGAGGGAATATTCATTGGGTGATATGTTTCCGTACAGAAGGGAGTGGGGAGGCACCCTGGTGTTTGAAATATTGTGCATGCAGAATTGCTGTTCTGTATTATATGGAGGATGAATGAGGCTGAGAATAGACAAGAATCCAAGGTCTATCAGATTTTTTGAGTTTACATGCATTTGCTATGTAGCTATGTGTATAGTACAACTAGTGTGACTAAATTGCAGGTAAATGGCAAGACTTCTAGATTTTCTGCTTTTTATGGAGTTAATGCATAATCTTTAGTGTCTAAATCAAGTATTCAAATCTTTTGGACATGTCAGGAATGACTGATGGATATTGGGACAGCTAATATATTTCTATTTCTCTCTATTTCTCTTTCTATATTTCTCTCTTTCTCTCTCTCTTTCTTTTTCTTTCTCTATCTCTTTCTCGCTCTGTATTTCTCTCTCTCTTTCTCTCCAGGAAAAGAGAGGCAGTTTGCATGTAGGGGAGCTATATGTATCCTGACTGCATTATGACATTAACATGTTCAGCTTTGTTTGGGCTCCTTGTGTATATATAGGGTGTCTGAGAACCTTAGTGCCTCTGAAGATATGTTCTTAAGGTGGAGAAATACTAGGATCTGTGTTCATGCAAGGTGGTTCTGTAGTATTGTGTGTGCACGCAACAGGTTTTATTTTGTGCAAGAGCTTGCCCAGTCAATCCACATTGAATTGGCTGAAGACTGGAATTTCATCATAAAGATTAAGCCAGTAGCCAAAAGCACTCAAAGGAGAATGCATTTCTTTCATAAATAGGGGCCATACTTAACTTACTACATAACAGGGACTGAATGAACCTGGCCTTTTATTTCTTAAATGACAGGTCCTGTGAAAAAGGGATCAATAATGCATAGATACTGTGGCTTTCAGCTTATCTCAGATTGTATCTCAGAAGGTTGTCTGAAAAGGATGTTAACTCATACTGTATTTTGGTCATGATCTTTTTTGCTTGTAGGTTGTACCCTGTGAATGTTTTACAGGTAAGAATCTTCTAAAAGGTATGAATGTCTGATCTTGCTAAGAATGATGGAAGCATCCATGCAAAATTCTGCTTGTACCTGATTCTGCTTGCCTGCTTGACATTCAAAGTCATAGAGCTTTGATTGAATGTCCAGCTTAGGATCTGTTTCATTATGGTAATGCCACCATTTTAAAAAGGTACTTTCTATCATGCACAGAGTGCTTTTCTGTTGCCAGGAAATCAATGCAAATGAAAAAAAGAGATGAGAACTAGATTTCAGTGGCTGTAATATTCCGAACAAGCATTCATTTCAAAAAGGAATTCTGTCCATCTATTTAAAGAAGATGGTATGGACAGCTCATCACCAATTTTTGATATGTACTTTTAACACAACTTAAGCAGGGGATTCTTAATCTTGGGTTCAATGGATAGATTTAAGGGAATCATGAACTTGGATGGGAAAAAGTGCAATTTTAATTTCACTAACTGAAAATTAAACATTTCTGTCTTTTCTCAAACTCAAGGATTCTCCTTGGATTTCAATTTGGAGGAAAATAAATCCCACGCTTTAGTGGTCACGTGCTCTTATCAGCAAGACAGGAATTATTGGGATTTGCAATCCAGAATATTCAGAATATTAGTCCCTCACTTCCAGTTTTATACTTTGCAAAAAAGGATCAGATCAGATTTGTGGAGATTTATTTCTCTTTTGTTCATATTGGGGTGTAATGTATGGAGGCTAAGACTTTCTGTCATTCCACCCCTTTTTCATCCGCTTGCTTGGTGGAACAGAGAAGGAAATTAGTCCCAAATATTGGACTCTTACAAAAGTCTTGCTTATTCTGAAAGGATTTGAGTGGCTAGACATAGCATCCGCTGACACCTTCTGTGTTTGAATTCTTAGGGTCTAAACATAGGCACTGCAGTAATCAGTTGAGTATTTAGAAAAATGAATGGAAATGAAGGGCATTTTCTGCCCTGAGAGATAATGTGAAACAGGTCCTCAAAGCTGGGTTAATTAAAATGACTGGGAAATGTATTCTGGAAAGCTGGAACACTCTTGTGATGCCGATTTTCTCATATTCGGTAAAAGGGGAAAATCTTTTTCACTTTGACTTTTTCTTTTTTGCTGGCAGGGACAGCCTGCTACATCATTTGATCATTTTGCTGGTTCCCTTATTAGGAAGGTGCTGTTCAGTTGTCCCTTTCATCAGCCTAATAACTAACCCAAGAACGCTAATATCCAGGGACATAATTGTGGTAATAAAAAAAAAATCCACTTATGGGTCATTCTAGTTTTTTCTCTTTTATTCCAGTGGGGAGGAGGTGCTGGCCTGTGGATGACCTGTCCTCCCACTCTTGTGCCAACCACAGTTAATAACCAAAATGTTCTTTTTCCTGGAAGAATGGAAGCAAAGCTGGTTGTTCCCCCGTCTGTCTCTTTTCCTCCAAGGCCCTGATAAGGGGTGGCGGGAGGGGGGGGGAAGGCTGACTCTGAAGGGGCAGCAGGTGGCAATTGATTTACAGGAGAATCTGTCTTGCTGCTGCTGGTGGGGATGGCTATATGTTGCTGGGCAACAGAGAATTATGGACTGGCATGCTCCCCATCAATCCGGCTTGTCAATAGTGCTAGGAATAGGATAGAGGGAAATACCAAGGGCCAATGTATCCAGCTGCAGAGATGCCCTCACTTGAGGCTCTCTGCCCTCCTAAACTGGGGCCCTTTTCCCTTCCTTCCAGCAGCCGGCCCTCTCTCTATCTTATTATCTCTGCTCTTGTCTCTTCCTTCTGCATTAGATCCCGGTCTCTCTTGTTTTCCATGAAAGCCCCTTTGTTCCAGGGAATCTGTTTCCTCATCCAATGGCCATACTGTCACCAGCTTTGGCGTTTCCCAGAGCAGCAACAGGACTGGAGACTAAGGGTTCCCTTTTCCTCTGGGTTTGGGGTTGGCTGGGGGCAAAATGGCAAGGAAGAGACTGGGATTCATGGGTCTCCAGCTAACTTGCAACCTCGGGTTTTCTTCTGAATGGCTGCTGAATTGATATCACCCAGGTCCATAGCTCCACCAGGGCTGCACCTGCACATCCATTAAATGTAACCAGAGACCTCATGACTCACTCTTCTATCCACACTGAAACTGCTGATTGACCTGCCTTGAATCTGCATGATCCCTTCCTCAACCTCTGCAGAAATAAGTTGGGGCTTGAACAAGAGGTCTATAGGGTACTATAGGTTGCCCACTCCCCCTTCCTCTCCTGCGTGCCTGTGTCCTTGAAATTTATTAGCGATAAAAGGGATGTTCCAAGAGTAAAGGTTTCCCTCAGAGAAGCTACCAGAGAAATGAGAATTTTTAGCTTCCACTTATCTTGCAGATGA